TCTGAGCACTTAGGGTTGGGCAATCATTCTGTGTTAATGAAGTGTGAAGTGTAAATCCAGTGCCCTGGCTCCCTCTGGTCTTCTTCAGGGTCTTCTCTGACACTTTGGGAGGTCACCCCTTGAGGCACGGTGGGAACCCCAGCTGGGGTGTTTACATCTGTACAAGGAGAAAACACCAATGCTGGTTCCCTGCAAGAGACTCCGAGGGAAGGCTGCTGGAACTCTGAAAGGTCATAGCCAGCAGTCTATGTAAACCATGACGCAAGAGCCTGATCCATTCACTGCATCTCTGTATCTTCCAGGTCCAGACCAGTGCCCCAGTCCCCAGGACCTACATGTGCTCCTCTCAGCTGAGTCAAAGAGAAAATGAGCAGTCAGAGATCTTCCCACCAAGAGCGAGTTCAGCCACCATGGACTTATATAACTCCCATGTATGTGTTTGCTGGAATAATTGGCCTTGACAAGTCAATTTAACCTTAGTGAAATTTTTTAAAAACAAAACAAAACAAAATGTAGTCTACAAAATACTGTCAATATGCTTCACTTTCCAGGATTCTGCAACAATTCAAAAAATATGCTTATCTTGGTCTCTTCTCCATGTATTTACTCTAGAAACAAAGCTAACATTAACTACAGCATATTAATTCTTTTTAAAATAACAGCTGAAAAGGGCATTGGCCTTCTTTATAACAGATAAGTAAAATACAGAAGCTGATAGAAATTAGAGAAAACTAGAAGGGGCTTCTTTCATTTAAATAATTTTTTTTTCTTTATGGCACTGGAGACTGAACACAGGGTTCCCAGTCCTTTTTAGTTTTTATTTTGTGAGACAGGGTCTCACCAGCTTGCCTGGGCTGGTCTTGAACTTGCAATTCTTTTGATTCAGCCTCCTGAGCAGCTGGGATTACAAGTGTATACCACTATGCCTGGCTAGAAGGAGCCTTTCTTTTAGAAAAGGAAATAAATGGAAGTAAAATTTTATTTTCTGAAAAGAACTAATACATAATATAATATGATATAATATAATATAATATCTCACTATATATATATATATATATATATACATATATATATATATATATATATAGTGAATGATTACCTATAACCAAATGATATATTATGAATTGATCCCTTATTCATCTTTAATTCTTTGGTGTATATACTGAAACAAGTATTGACATAATTTTCCCCTAAAGATTCTTTTCATTATTAAAATAGTAGAAACAGCTGGAGAAGATGAAGAAACTGTTTTAATGTCTCCTGAAATTCCAGCCATGGTAGAACTTAGGGCTCTGGGCAACAAAGCAACCCGCTCACCTCGCTGGCCGTGAGCCTACTAGTGTGTGGGTTGAGAATCAAACATCCCATCCCCCCACCCCTGTTAGCAAATGGGAGCCAGAGGTCTGAGCATCTCTTGAGAGGTGACCATATGCAATATAGCAAACAGGGGGGACTTCCTTCTACCATCTCTTTGAAGGCAAATATTGTTATCCCTGTTTTGCTTTATTTTGATTAATTCTATTGCTCTATTCAATATTCTGTTTTGATAGGTTTTATGATGTACTGTATTTCATTTTATTTTGTTATATCTGAGTGAAAAGACAACTACTGTGAAGATAACAAGATATACTATGGTACTTATTACTGTTATCTTGGTACCCTGCTGTGAAGTTCTGTACCAGTTTCACTGCATTGTCTCAATTGGCTTTGTTCTGTCTTGTGCTGTTGTATTTTAACTACCTTCAAAATTAAAAAAAAAAAAAAAAAAGAAAAGAAGAAGAAACCGTTTTTAAAATGCACCCTGTGAAAGGCCAGGTGTGATGGCACATGCCTGTAATCCCAGCACTCAGGAAGCTGAGGCAGGAGGATCATTGCAAGTTTGAGACCATCTTGGGCTACAAACTGAGCTCAAGGTCAGCCTGAAATGCTTGGTGAGACCCAATCCGAAAAAGACAAAAATAAATAAACAATAAATAAAATGCACCCTGTGGATATACTGGTAAAATTTGAGGTTGTATGGAAAGATTAAAGACAATATATAGAGAACAAAACAACAAGCAGAAATGTAGTAATTAAACTTTTCTTTAGAACCTTAGGTGTTCTCTGGAGGAACTACTATTAAATCTCTTGTTTTTGAAATCATACTTGACATTTTTTCCAAAGAAACCACCACAAACTTCACTTCACACGATATGTACTCTGTCAAAACCTGAAATAATAACTGTGTGGCGACATTTTGAGAGCAGAAAGGATTACCTCCAAATGTCACGTCAGCCGATGATGACAGCCACAGCCAGCTTTAATTAATGCTAGGGACACACATGGACTTCTATGTTTTTACAACTAAATACCACACACCTAGCAACACCAGAGGGCTTTCTTTGGAAAAATAACCGTAATATGTGTGATTATTGTGTCTAGCAGAAAAAGCTACAAATCCAGTGGCTATTATTTTCCTAGGCCAAAGAGAAAAAAAAGAGACGAAGTGCTTTCAGCCACAGATGTCCATTTGGTAAGATTAGACCAAAGTGCGTTGCCGTAAATTGTCCTTTCTCAGCTAACACCCTTGCTATTAGTTTTCAGTCCTTATGGCTAAAAGAACTTGCTGGAATCTTTGTCCTTCTTTAGAGAGAGACATCATAGTGCGAACACTATACGTACTGTTTTTACACCACCTCTGGGGTTCAGGAGGTGTCTTAATGCTTCCACAAATTCTCTAAATGGCTTTCATTTCATAAGGAATTGCAATTTTTCATTTTCTAAAGTTCACCTAGAAACTTTAAAAGGAGAAGTCTATTTCAAATACAGAACTCTTCCAAATACCTCCTCATCCAACAGTAGGGAACTCGGTTTCAAGGATACTTAACACCTGTGCCACACTTTGCTAAATAACTTTAATATCATGTTAGTTAAAAAGATGGTAAATCATATTCAGGTTGAAAATCCTGGTTTTGAAAACTTTGAAATGCTTCAAAATTTCTCACTTGAAGATTACTAAATATACTGCTTAAAATTAAATTCAGGTTATGTGACTCAGGTATAAACAAAAATGAATTTCTTGTTTAGATATGGGTCCCATCTCCAAGATGTCTCTTTATATACATGCAAAACACTTCTGGTTTCAAGCATTTTAGGTAAAGAATACTCAACACGTACATATTAGTGCATGATAGGTACCTTAAAATTGCTAGGCACTAACATTATTCACTGGAAAACCAACTGGATTCCATGAAAACTCAAAAACCCACTTATAGAAATTTAAACCAAGTGTAAGTGTGGGAGTAGCTGATGATGGTAGTCTGAGAAGGGATCACAGGGAATGAATCATGTCTGTCCTTAGCATATGAGTTTGCCTATTTTCTATCTCCTATCTGGTGCACAAAATCAAACACTGAGCCTGTTTAAATCATGAGCACAGTGGCATTAGCCTTATATGGAACAATCTGGGGCATGAATCAGTGTAATTCTAAGGCTCCAGTGAAGAGGTCAAGATGAAATCTATGTTGCTATTTGAAAATAGGAACTTGATGTGAACTTTTCAGAATCAATGATTTCCTTCAAAACTTCAACCAGTATCTTTCTAGCTACCTGGCATCCAACATATTCATGTTAAAATCAATTATTTCATGAATGGTAGCAACAGTAAAAAAAAATCTGTTTTTTTCTTTCTTTTGTTGTTTAAGTAAATGGCAAGGCTAGGGTGGGTGGAAAGATCAAAATTTGGCACTACGGAAAATGTCATATCTATACTGAATTGTTCAGATTCCCATGAGTCGGGAAGTGACTGCCAGAAAGAAAAACCCAAAAGAAAGCACTCCTCCACCTTGACATCCACACAAGCAATGAATGCTTCAAGGATGGATTCAGCCTAAACATAGGAGTATTAACTGTTCTTTTCCAATAACTATACAATGAGTAGTATACTCATTTTAGCCTAGCTGGACACATCTCTTGTTTTCCCCACAGGTCTTGGTCTAACTCTGTATCTTTAGAGGAAAAATATAGCAGTTTTTGAAGTTATTCTCAATTAGCATTTTGAACTTTATTATTTGCTTATTTTCTATTCTATTAATTTGACAGACAATCTACCCTTTCCCCAGCAAAATGGCCTTAGGCACAAAGACATGAAATATAACTTCCATTTCCTTAGATACCTAATCTAGACAGCACCATTTCTGGTAACAGGGGAATTATATTTCTGTGTGTGCATGACCAATGAAGGCTGTAGTAAACAAAATCCTAACTGAAACTCTTGGGAGATATTTTGCCGCATTTCATAAATAAACCTTTTTATTTAACATGGTATTTTCAGCTCCATACTTTCATTGGTGTTACATTACTAATGATCTCAGAGCCCAGTAGAGCTCAGTTTAGTTTGTAACGTGACTGCCTTTTCTGACTCTGTGGCTCCTGGCAGGAGCAAGGTTCAGCAGACAGATGGGTCTACATCCTAGCATTAAGTATGTCCTCAACTCCCACTGATCATAAAAGCTGACACACCCAATTCTGAGCAAATGGTTGTACACACAGAAGTACTGACAGATTCACAGATTTGTAATACGGACTTTCAGTCTGCTGTTGGTTCTGCACTGACTGAGAAGGTTATTATTATAAATAATCAATATGTAGACACAATCAGCAATTTTATCCTTATGGTTACCATATGCAAGGACACCTCTCTGGGCATCACAGGTAGAGCAGAGTTAAACAGGTCTGAGTCCTCATAGCTTCTAACATCTACCATCTTTCACAAAAGGGCCAGACCTCTGGTGGCATGACAGTTGTCTCCACATCATAAGATCAAGTCTCTGGAAATCCCCTGTTTTAAATATTCGAAGGAACGGAGTCTCCTTATCAAGGTAATGAAGCTACATGAACATAGGGAGCCACGAAGACATGGATCTGCTTTGGCACAAGTGACACACATGAGAGGATCATGAGATGACAGTGACAGTGAGAGGGAGGGATGAGAGGAAGAGGGGACAGGAGGTGGTGCTCACCATTGCCTCCTCCACTGGCTCCTCAGCCTGTGTTTCCAGCCCAAGGTCCATCCCAGCAGCAGCTATGGTGGCAGCAGGCGGCTCCTCTGCTTTGAGCTCTGTGGGCACAGCCTGTTCAGATTCAGCCTTCGAGTGTTTGTTTGAGGGTTGGGAGAAAAAGATTCGACATGTGAACAGGTAATATGACAGAACTATGGGACAATCAGGATTCATCTTTGTCACTAAATAGGCAATGAACTTCATTAAATCCTTGTTGAAAAACAAATCCTTGCATTTGGCATCACAAAGCTTTACAGAATAGAAACACCTCAGAAGAGACCGTCGATAAACTTCGCTTTTGTAATCAAGAAGTATTGATACCCTTTAGGTTAACCAAACGCTCACTTTGGCCCATTTAGTTTACTTACTGGCAGTATTACTCATTTCTCTATGACTTCCACTTACTTCTCTATGATCCTCGAATGGTACTTTCTGCTATTTATCACTGAGACAGACACACAAAAACACACTAATGGTTTCCATCTTTCTCAGCTACAGGGAGTAAGGGAGAAATTACTGGGCACACAAATCTGGAACATTTCAGGCTTAGTAGTATCACATTGCACCAAAACATCAAGGTGCCATCCCAATATTCAGACCCATAAGACCCAAAGGATCACTGTGAATTTTAGTGTCCACTCCCACAGTTGGCAGGAGGAGGTCAGTTATGTGGCTGCTTGCCAGGACACCAGGACAATGACAAAGTGATGCATTATGGTAGGCTCCTGTTTAGTCCCTTTTCTCCCTTCTTCCTCCAGCAGAGTCCCTATCCATCACTTTATCTCACACAGTAAATCAGTTCTTTGAAGAACCACAAGCAGGATTCTCTATGATCTCAATTAGATCCTTTTAATTAGTGTGAGTAAGGGGAATCCCTTTGTCCCCATGGAACCTCTATACAGGGACATCATCCTGATTCCAATGATATGTTGAATCAGCTCTCCATCATCTCTAGCCCAAGAACTTTTCTAGCTCTAAAATTATGGCTATAAAATACCAACAGACCATGAATAGCACCACAGCCAATGTATGTTACTGAAAACATTCCTTCATTCTACATTCTAGTGAGGTACTAAGCATATTTACCTAGAGGCTTATTTTATTAAAGGAATGACCAATAGAGGGCTCATTAACTCTTTTCCATCAAAACACTTAAACTAAAAGTTTAATAAGAAGTGTCCAGTTAATACTTTGGAGAAATCAGTAACTTCTGCAAGGCTCTCACTGTAAGTGACCAAAAGCTATGTCTGTATCTCCTATGATTCATCCGAGTCAGTGCCCAAATTGAAGTAAGTTCCATGGAGAAGTTGTGTCAAAGTTTTTCTGACATAATGGGAAATATGCAATAATGGATGGCCCAGTGCTAAGTAAATATACAAACATATTTTCTTAGGCCCTCCATCAAATCAGTGATTGTGATGCAGGCTATGACCACACCACTGATCTTTCTAAGGAGTATAATAAAATTAAAGGATACTTTAGTAGACAAGTATGCACAGATCTGATATCTTTCTAGGCATTTATAACCTTCAAGAGGCAGGCAATACAATTTTTAAGAAAGAAGGAGATAAAATTCACTCTAATATGTTCTCAAGAGTCCTTTATGGGAAAAAGCTTCATTTTCATTGTTCTAAAAGAATTATCTTCATAGCAACAGATCCTGTAAATACTCAGGGTCTGATCTTTCCATGTGGGAAGCCACGGTGATTTGCTATGACAACACGGTACCCAGTGACCTAGACAGGAGAGGACATAAAAGGTAATTTGACAAAGTAGAAAGCAACCCGTGAGCAAACTCTGCTTTCTGGCAGTCTTAGTCCAGGCTACAGAGGAAGCCTCAAGGCAGATAAGGATCCAAGAGATATTTCAAAACACAGATCTCATAAATTTACCATTGTACAGTTTGAAAACATAAAAATAACTTAAAATGAAGGCCCATATTTGCATAGGAGCTCGAGTTTACTGAGAAATCTGAGGAAATTATAAAGTTTTACATAAGTTAAGAATAACTAGGGTGACTTCATAAATGAATCTTAATTGCATTTGTTTATTGAAATTATACAAAACAGTGGTAGCATGGTGTGAAGAGGAAATAGGATTGGTTATGTTCCTGTAAGTCACGACATGTACCACCTGACAGTATCACCTGAACTATAGGATGGCACTGCAGCTTAAATTCTTGTGGCATAAATGCAACTCACTAAAGAACGAGTGGGGGTAAAGCATGGCTGGATATAAAATCTGCTACTAAAATTCAGAAGCAGTATCACTCTTCTCTCCCTTCTCATATAATGTAAAACTAAATATTTTGTAACGATATAAAAACAAAGATAAATCATAAATAACACCTTGTAGAAAAATCTGAAATAATCCTATAGGAATTGTGCCCTGCCTCAGCCATTTATTTCTATTTACTTTTTTCCTACAAAATGTTTCCTTTGACAAAGGGATTGTCAGCCTACTGTTTGCTGGAAAAACAATCACTATACATTCAGAGATTCTGTAGATCCTTTGCATTGAAGCAAAACACCAATATAGCTTAATTTTCAAAATCATAAATGGAATTCTTCCTTTAGATGAAAATGGACAGTGCAGTCTTGGAGCACATATTTTAGAATCCTTTGGGATATATAAAAGCCAGGTCAGTGCATTGGCAGAGCAGATGGCATGGGAGAATGAGGCAAGAATCACACAGTGGTAACCTGTAAGCCCATATTTATAGTAACTCACAATAGCTAAAAAAAAAAAGTCTATATGCTTAACAACAGATGAGAAGAAAATGTGATACATACACTTATATGTGTGTTATAGAGATCCAAATATACAGAGAGAGCCATAGTGAAGGAAATATATATCCAGTCATAATGAAGAATGAATTTGTGTTGTTTGTAGGAAAATGTATGGATACTGGGACCGTGATGTTAAGTGAAATAAATCAGGAATAGAATATTAAAATCATGGGTTTCTCTTATATGAGAACTCCAAAATTATAAATAACTTAAAGAGTAAAATAAAGGTAGATGTTTTGGAGCAGGGAATGAGGAGAAAGTGGGAGAAAAAAGTAAAAGAAGAAGGGATTTAAAAATAATCAAGCTATTATATATATATATACATATACATATATATATATATATATATATGCATGTATATCTCCAACTCCTCCAAATGGATGCAAATGCCATGCACTACAAACATATACAAAAAAATTATAAAAAAGAATCTGGATGGATAGATAGATGGATAGATAGATAGGATGACAGGAAACTCGAAGAGAAACTTTTGAAAAGGGCTTTTGAAAAGAAACTTTTTGAAAACTGATAAATAAGAAGAGGAAGAAAGGAAGAAGAATGAAATGGAGTTGAAAATGATCCAGATATGTTAAATGAATGTACCAATTTCCTAAAATAAAACCTCACCATCCTGTATTAGTAATGTGCTCTTCAAAAATTAAGAGTGTATTCACAATCCAATATGGTGCTTGCTTCCTAGTCCTGCCTCTCCCATCCTGGGAGAGCTGGTTTAGTGAGAACTGCAAAGGGCCCTGTGAGCAGCTCTGAGCCTCCAGCAAAGTCGATAGTTCAAAGGGTTTCCAACCTGTTCTGTGGGGCCAAAAGATACAGGAAGGGAGCTATACAGCTGACTACTGGCTTCAACCTCTGCTGGAGCAAAAGGGTCAATGAACCAAATGCTTGGGAGTTTCCTGCTTCTAGGAAGATCCTGTACAACCAGAACACATTGAGCAGGTTCACTGTGATTTCCTAGTCTTGCACAGCATAAATGTTAGCAACAGTACTGGACACAAAGAGCTAAGTTCTCCAGTGAAGAGAAGAAACAGAATATCTGCTTCAGAGAATAGGAATGGAGAGAAGGGAAGGACAGGCATGGAAGTTCCTGTGACAAGCTGTAATGGACAGGAAGATGTTCAAAGACATGTATAAACCCCAGGATTCTGGGCCTGGGTCTTTTGTTTGGAAGGAGTAGCTATCAAAGTGGTAGGAGTGAGTTTGATGATGACCAATTGCCTTTTATACCAGTATTTCTCCATTTTCCTTAATCCTTTCACCATTGATAACTAAAAATCTCATCCTCCAGTTCCATCACCCAGGCTGAGAATAACCAATGAACATAAAGAATGAGGCTCTCTGGCTTCTATAATTCATATGAGGCAGTTGCAAGCCACATAGACTCTGTTTTCCTCTTGCTTGTGCAAAAGGCAAAGAAGTATGACAATCCATTGTCAAGTCATTAGAGATAGACTTGTCCTTGCAAAGCTATCAAATTAACCTTTCAGAAAAACTTCCCGGAACAGAATTCGTTACTTAAAATTGAAGTAGTCACAAAAAAACAAAAACAAAAACAAAAACAAACCACTTCGCTCTATTAAACCTATAATATATAATTACACACGATTCCTATGGGAAAATCACTGTGCTGCAGACAATGCCCATGAATTAACTCCAAAGAGCTGAAGTCCTTGCAGTATAGCAGTGCTGATCTCACAAGTGACATCACTCAAGCTCTCTACACTCAGCTTTACTAATAAGCTGTTGAAGCTGTTGAAGCAAAGGTTTCCCATGGTGGCTATGACATGGATCCTAGGAGAAGTGGGTCACAACATTCTGCTCCCTACTCATGCTCTGAGATTTTCTCTTATCAGCTTGCTAGGAATCACAACTGTATCATGCACTCTTTCTTCACACAACTCACAAAATCAAGGGATGAGATGAGAAATAACATAGTGTCAAGCTCAACAAAAAAGTAAGGATCTATTTTGAAGCATAAATTATTGACGCAAAGTCATTTCAATCCTGTGGCTTAAATTATGTGACATGAAAACTCATGTCCTCTAGCCAGGCATGGTGATGCAAGCTTTAATCCGAGTACTCGTTAGGCTGAGGCAGGAAGACTGTCAAACCCTGAACTATGTAAGTGACCCTGTCTCAAACAGAAAAAAAATTCATGTCCTTGATAGATTTACTGTGTTATCTTGAGACCCCCTACCTAGGAGATTTTGGGTTTTGGTAAGATAATGCCTTCAGCAACACACTGGGATTTCACAGATTCTTTCTCTCTTGTTTTCTAGAGAAGAGGAAGCTGTAGAAATTGTGTTTTAGATATTCAAACTATAGACAGAATAGAATGACCAATTTAGTTTAGAATAGTCAGTGGTAACTGGCAACTTCCCCCAAACACCAACCAACTCCAACTTACCAGGTTGCAGATCATACTCTGATCTGCCTGCATTGTGAATAATGAAGTGTCCTGGGGCTGAAAATGGGGGAGAAAACCACAGATTTTTTAAAAACATATTTAAAACTTTTTAAGTCCCTTTTTAAATCAGTTAAATAAAAAATATTAACGAGCAATATTCTAAATATAAATCTGTACCAGCAAAAGATGCTGAGAGTGACTAAACAAACACTGACATCAAAGATATCTCTGGGTCACGGCTCCTCTTCAGGATTGTAGTTAGAAGTTAATTGCTATGGACTCTAAACTTTAAAGTTGCTTTTAAATGCTTGGAATCATATGGGTTATTTATAAGCTATAAGTTAAAATTTTTTTAAAAACATGTTTATGAAATTTAGAAGTTCAGCTAGGAAAAACCTAAAGGAAGAATGATTTTTTAAGAAAAGGCTCACCTCTCATTACACCAGTAGTGCTCTGTACCTTTCTAGATGGAAGACTAGAAAGTTTCCCCAAAAACCTCATCAGCTCAAAATAAAACAAAACAAAGCCTGGAGAATCTGACACCAGGGGCTCCTCAACAGAAAAGATAAGCCAGCAAGCAACCTTTGGTCAAAAAAGGTGGCTAGAACAATGTGCAGTTACCTCTGTTACATCCAGAACCCAAGCTAAATACTAATACTAATAATAAAAAAGTTTTTAAAGTTATAACCTATAAGGATGAAAACAATGAGAAGAAAGATCACAATAAAAAATGGAAACTGGAAAGTAGATAAATGAACAGAAAGTAACTTGGTAACAGAGAGAGAGAAGAAGAAGAAAAGGAAAGAAAAAGAGACAGACAAGATATTTCTTACAAAATATCAAGAATCATAATGATTTCCTCAATAGCAATGTCAAGATCTCATGAACAAACAGCTTTAAAATTCTAAGGGCAAACGATTTATACCTTTAAAATAATGTCTACATAGCTCATTACATATGTAGAAATCAAGACATTTTTAGAGTTTATTATGGTTTAAATCTAAAATTCTCATGTAGGGAAGGTGACTGGATCCAGGAGGCTGCCGTATCCACCAGCAATGAATTCATAGCTGACTGTGCCGGTAGCAGCTGGTAGGGTCCAGTCAGAAGAAGAGGGTCACTGGGGATGTGATCTGGGAGGATAGGTTGGCCTCCCCACTGTTCCTTCTCCCTCTGCTTTCTGGCCACCATGATGTGAGCAGCTTTCCTCCACCCAGACCCTGCTGCCGGGCCACTTCTGGCTGGGAGCCAGCTGACAATGCACTGAAACCGTGAACCAAAATAAACCTCTCCTTTTTGCAGTTATGTGTGTATGGCATTGTGTTTCAGCCACAAGAATGTGACTAAAACAGATTTGTAAGGTCCTGAATATATACCTTCCGTCGCTATGTTCCTCAGGAAGTTCATGGAGGATGTCCTCTACCCAACGAGCATTAAACCACAGGTGAGGATGATCGTCATCCAGAGAGAGGCAAAAGCAACCTCCAGGCTAAACTCACAGGGGAACAGTGAGTCATGGTCACAGTGCCTACAGCCCCAACTGTAGCATCCCAGAAGGACATAAAGCTGATTTCTTCAAGAAGATGAAACTGCTTGAATATCCATATTTTCATCAAGACAAGAAAGGTTTTAAGTAACTAGAGGAGATAAGTACATGGAAAACTAAGCAAACCAATCAACATCCGTAAGATTCTCTAAAGGAAAACAAAAAGTTGGCATGAAAGGAAATGTGAACTTCATGACTCATTTGCTAATAGCATTTATGATATTAAAATATGGCCACAGATTGGCTGGGTTAGTATGATGGAATTCTATCAGAAGAAGGGCAGGAAGAAAAATTAGGCAGAGTAAGGGAAGAAAACACAGTAAGTCCGCACCTTCCAGAGAGAGAAACTCAGAGATAAAGCTTTCAAAATCAAGTAGTGTTAAAATCCATCTGTGCACAGATGGGAACAACTAGAGAATGTGCTAATAGATGTGAGATTTACCTCTAAGAAACAGGAAATGGAGAGTGCACACGACGGTCTGACATTTATAAATAAAACCCTTATAAAATTTTGTTATTTTGAAAGCTACTGCAATAATAACCTTGATAGAAATACAAATTTGATAAAATGAGAAAGGAAACCAATGTCTGTGAGCCAAGCTTCTGAAAGAGTTTTCTGGAGGAGACACATTATTGTCTGTCTTTGAGATTGTGGTTGTCTTTTTTTGGGTGTACTGTGCATGAGTGTGTTTTATGTTTGTGGAGGTAATGGGGAAAATAAAAGAACTTCTAAGCAGAGAGTTTAATTTAAGAATATATTCTGAATACATATTTAGAGAATTCTAGATTCTAATGAAATTGTATCTGATATGTAACACACAGCATTTATCATAGAAAACCCTCTCTTTGAGGTATCCCTTGATGAGGCCATCAGAATGAAATCTGAGAGCATGACAACCACATGCCCTGCTTTTTACATAGCATTATGACTTGAACTAGGTGTACCCCAAAAGCCTTGTTCATTCCTAGGTAGGGTTTCTGGGAGGTGATGGGATCACGGGTGTGTGATACTGGGTTAGTTCATTGATGGATTTATAATTGAGTGGGATGTTGGGAGGTGAAGCCTGTGTGGGAAGGTGGGTCATGTGTGGCCCAGAAGAGAGTACACAGATATCCCTCCTTCCTTCGTGGTTGCCCTGCTTCCTGTCTACCATGCTGTGAACGATTTATCCTCTACAATGTCCCTCTTCCAGGCCACCCTGCTAGCCAACTATGGACTGAAACCTCTGTGAACTGAGATCCCAAATCAGCCTCTCCTCCTTTAACTCATGTATGTCAGGTATTTTGTTTCAGCAATAAGGAAGTAGCTAAGACACACGAGTTCCACCCAGGTCCTATACAGTGAATGAAAGTCCTCTTTATGGTTCCTCCTTTTCAGACTCCTAAGGAACACAGTACTGCCTTTCTGGACAGAACCACCAAATTGCTTGTGACCTTCCAATGACTCTTTTCTGGAGAACTGCTAGGAAATAAACTGTGTGCAGTGGAGATCTATGAATCTGTAAGAATAGACATTGCTAAAAATCTGTCGTATTTCCTAAACATTCAACCTTACAATACAAAACAATCATACTGCTGAATCTATGGGATCTTTTCTATAAAGACCATTTCTCACGAGTGGTAGAGAAATTCCCATGAAGTACAAATCCACAGTATAGCAAATAACATTAATAATAATTAGTAACATTAATAATAGCTAACTAAAATCCTGTAGCACTGAGTATGTGCTACGTTGTTGGGCTAAATGCCCTATATATACATTTCATTTAATCATCAAAATAACCCTGTAATGTTGCAATTATTCTATTATTCAATCTGTAAGTAGTAGGGCCAAATTTTATATTGGCACTCTTAATTATTTTTGCTAGACCAGTGACACAGAAACCACACTGAAAAATGTATAATATTCTCACCAAAATGGGTCTTGACAGAAAGTGAATTTCTTACCTGGGTGAATCCATTGAATGAACCACCAGAAGCCTAAACAGAAATGGAAATCAAAGTGTGTTATTTTTTCCATCACTTTTATAGGATTAATAAATATCCATTAGACAAGTTGGACAGTAACAACTACCACAAATCATAAAATAATACAGAAGGTGATTGTATGAGCAAGTGCTTAGGAATATGAAAGGCATGTTACTTTAAATAGGCTGACAAAAAATGAAAATTATTATTATTATTATTATTATTATTATTATTATTATTATTATTTGGTACTGGGGATCAAATTCATGACCTTGCACTTGCCAGGCAAGCACTTACAATGCTGAACTAAATCCCCAGCCCATTGAAAGATTAATTTTACAATTATTGATGCTGTGTGGCTCAGTGATAACTTATGTTCTTAATAACATGATGATTCCAAATAAGAGCCAGGATAGGTGATCCCTTTTTAGGTCACAGCTAAAATCTGGTAAACTTTTCCTTCATTTCTATTACTCATCATTTAGAGAGCAGCACCTATTATCACAGTTTTAAGGGATCTGCATAGGACGACTTCATGTGTTCTTATGAAAGTAGAACCATTCTGGGAACAGTAAACAAGTCTGTTTTTCTCATGGTTTTGTGTATTTTTAGTATCCAAATTGTAAAAATGAAAGAAACTCAGAATTTGAGATGGTGAGACATATCTAATTAAGATCTCACTAATTCATAACCCAATGATTCTACTTCTTGTGATTTTTTTTTTCTTTTTTGCCAACCTATTTGTGTCTGGTTTGCACAGATTTCAAGAGGTACATGACAATCTGTCTAGGAGATAATCAGGTTTCCAAGAAGATGGTGATGGAGAATGAAGCAGGTGAAAGACATTAGGAAAAACAGAACCTACAGAAGTCTGGCTAGTCTATGCTACACACTGGGGTAAGTACCTCATCTTTATGAGCCTCTATTTCTTGATACAACATTCCATATCTCTGGTTAGCAATTTCATCTTCAGATAAGTCTGAGTTGTTGATGTCATTGTCTTGGGAACTCTCAGAACTTTCAGAGCTAGTGTTCTGGGGTATTCCCAGAACCAATGGTCTAGCCATCTCCTGGCTTTGTTCCCTACATATACCTGCTAGTAAAGCTACTTTCAGTCTTCCCTTGCTTTCAGCTAAATCTGAATGTTCCGAGCAATTATCTAAGCCTCCAACATGTCTGATAGGCCAGTGGTATTCAGAATCCAGCCAATTGGCAAATCCACTCTCTTGGCCATCTGGTATACCAGAGAACCTTGACATGTCCATATTATTCACTGGTGAATTCAAAGTTGGCTGCCAGATTTGACCTGTGTCTGTTTCCCAAATCTGCATCTCTGCAGTTCCTGGCAAGTTAACAGCATGACTATAATCCCCAGTTATTATACCTTCAGGTCTCTCTATTAAGAAATCTCCCTTACAGATACAACTATCTCTTCTGTTTGTGTCTGTTTCCGGAGAATAACTGGGGTCAGTTCTAGATGGAACTGCTACTTCATATTTCACTGATAAAACAACAGCCTGATTTTTACTCTCACCAGCTCTATGAGCATTTAACACAATCTCATCCTGAATTTCTTCAGCATCCCCACTGCTCTGTGCTGGGTGACACATTATAAAATGGGTGGGAGTGTCTGTTAAATTTTTCTTTATGTCTTTATTAGCTAAATCCCATTCCTCAAAAGTGGCACCTTCAAAGTTAGACATGGAGTCAGTCTGGGGGGGAAGATTCAAAATACCTGTATGATTGGCAGGTGTAGTTCCTGAGCCTTCTACATTTTCACAAGTATTGATTATTACTTGACTCTCATCATGTAACCCTTGGGCTCTGTCACCAAATTTACCTGCCATGTCTTTTTCTGAAAGGTCAGCTTTCTCAAAATAATTTTCAAGGGGTTTTATACTTTCCATGCATCTCACTCCCAGATCTTTCCCAGCTTCCCTTTCACTAACTTTGAAGGCCTCCTGGTCTTCTTCTGTCATAACTTTGATATCTACTGCCCTATTTCCTGTGCTTTCACATATATTCTGTTCGGATTCCTCAATACCTTCTAGTGTCTTGATATCAATAGCTCTAGTGTCTACCTTTTGACAGGTCTCCAAACCTGTCCATAAAGAATCTTCTATCTTCTGGTTTTCTTGTTCTTCATCTGCCTTTTTAACGTCTTCATGACTTTCCTGGAGCAGGCCAGCTGTTTCCATGGCTGGCACCTCTGAGTCAAGGAATTCATTTGGCTGTTTCATCTCCAAGCAAGTAGCAATAGCAACTCCAGTCCCAGGCATGGATGTCAGGGATAACTGTTCATTGTCACCTGGAGAAGCTGGCCCCAGGACATGCCCACCCTGTTCTGCTACAGTGGACCAGTCAGCAGGAGGAAGCATTCCAGTGGGTAATCTCCTGTCTTGCTCTGCTTCAGAGAGACACGCAAGGTCTTCTCCAGACCCACTTGGAGTCATTTCCTGGCTAACACTGTCTGTACTAGCATCCGGCCCCCAAGAAAATGCACCTATGCCAATTTGAGATCTTTGAATTTCTTCGGCCAACCCACTGTCTGGAGTTTCCTCCATAATCAGGTTACACAGGGAAAGACTTTTTGAAGATTCAGTCTTTGAAGTATGCAGAAGAGCAAAAGAAAAAAAAGATAAGATGAAATAGAGCATGGTAAGATCAGATGAGAAACACAAAGCTTTTCAATAGGGTAGCGCAAGTTAAACAAAACTAAAAAGTGCTTAAATTAATCAGTTTAAGGTTAAATACACAACTAACAATACAATAGGGGAAAAAGTTCATTCTCCAAAAAAATTGTATAGCAAATATATTTTTGAAATCCAGAACTTGCTGGATATTTACCTACCGGTTGTACCAGATCAGTGCTTGTCTGTGTGGTTAAAAAAAAGAAGAAAAAGAAAAAGAATTACTAAGGCAAGGGAAAAAAAATTCAGTGGGACATTAAAATCTCATGCTGTTCAAAGACAACATTCTGTTAATGGTTGTGACTTTTAGTGGTTTAGGGTTAAATTTTACAACTTAGACTTTACTCCAATTTTGTGATAAGAGTACTTTTTGCTTCAGACTACTACAGAAAAAGCACAATTTATCACAAAGAAAGCCTCTGTCACTGATATTTTAAGGCTAGTATGTAACTTCTGCATTAGTAGACTGAAATGGAAAGTTCCAAATAAATAAGCCAATCTGTGAATGCTAGCATAAGAGCCAGCACAAGAGGTCGAGAAATTACACTCTGTAACATCCTCTGATGGAGAAGCAGAATAAAATCTGCCCCAAACTCATCCTTCCCTGGGTTCTGCCTTCGAGACAGGGTGCAGATGGAAGATGAGCTGATGCTAACCACTCTGATTGCCCTGAGAGTTCTCTTAATACCCTGCCCTCAACCTACAAGCCAATTTCTGCATAGAAGGAAAAAACCCAGGAAGCTGAGATGATTAAGAACTGCGAGAAATTATGTTCTAAAAGTCACTACTACACATTCTTGTTATCATTGTATTTTCTAGCAAATTTGTCCTCTGAAATATCAAAAGCTCCTTCTAGATTATATCTTCACCCTCACCACACCCTTTCTACCTGGAGAAGAAAAATGTATTATAGGTCTAATGAAGGATGAGAAATACTGGATTGATTAAAAAATTAAAACTGTTTTCCAAGACAATCAACAGACATGAGGCTAGAATTCAAATGATCTGAATGTTAATCCATCAAACTCTTGTTATAGAGACATAAGGAGAGCAAAATAACACACTGTAAAAGGTACAATTAATCATAGACAGTTTCAACATGTTCACCTCTTCTCTGGAAAGCTTTCTTTTTTTTTTTTGGTTCTGGGGATGGGACTCGAGACCTCCTGCTTGCCAAGCAAGTGCTGTGTCACTGAGCTATACCCCTGGCCCTCAAAGTTTCCTAATGTTTCGAGAATCCTAAATAACTCAGTATAAACCTACTACTACAAATGTGTACCTTTTTGCTTCAAGAAGGAAAAAACAATAGCATCATTTCAGAAGACCAGACCCACTTGGTTTTTGCAGTCTCATGAAAAAGAAAGAAATATAAACCTCAACCTGGGATCTTATGGCCACATGAACAGAGCTCTTCTAAGACCAAGTCCCCACCCTGAGGGACATCAGGCTTGAATCTACGTCACTGATGTTCTAATTTTACAGTACTGATGCAGCACCACAAATGTCTTTCTTAGCTCCATATTCAAGACACAATTCACTTTGCATGACAGCTTAAGTAAATGGATAACCTCAGCAGTAAAATCTACATTTTAAAACATGCCCACTTTGGGTCAAATACTCTATAAATATTATCTTATTTAACTATCCCACAGTCCCCTAAGGTAGGCCTCATTCTCCTTATTTTACATATAAGAAAAACTGAGACTTACAGAGTTTTAGAAATTGCTCCAAGTCACAAGATTATGAATATCAGAGTCAAGGCTCAGATCCAGGCTATCTGGCTCTCAAGTTCAAATTGTTGTTAAACAAGCTTCATTGAACATAGTGATACAAATGATGAAATAATGGTTCCTATTATGCACTCTTTGCTTATATTCTATTTAAAAGCAAGTACATATATGTACGACCTTATTACAACAGGTGCTCTGGTTACCAACCTCCTAGAAAGAACCAAAAGGGCACAATGCCACATTCTTGGTCTCCAACCTCCAGCAGTTCAGGCCATTGGCATACTGTTCTCTATAAGGATCTCCAGGTTCTAGATATTCTAGTTATGCAGAGAACGTCCAGGGACTAATTATTGTTTTAGAGAAAAAACTGTTGTCAAAAGTATAAAATACCATATTATTTTTCAAACTGGTCTTACCGTCCATAGGTCCCATGGCAATGTCTGAAAGAAAACAAACAAAATTGCTCTTAGTATACAAATGCCACGCATTTAAAAAATATATGGTGAGGGGCTGGGGATTTAGCTCAGTGGCATAAATGCCTGCCTTGCAAGCAGGCAGTCGTGAGTTCGATCCCCAGTACTGATAAAAAGGAAAAAGACAAAAAAAATTTTTCTCCAAAAAATATATGGTGAGAGGGTGGCAAATACCAAGAGATGATGAAGGTTTTTGGGATTGTAAAAATGTTTTACTTTTTGAAAATTTTCTTTGTCTTCTTTTTTGAGACAGGATTTTGCTATGTAGTTCAGGTTGGCCTTGAACTCTGTATATAGTCTAAGCTGGCCTCAAACTCATGGTGATCCTCCCGGCTCAGTCTCCCAGGTGCTGGGATTACAGGCATGCATCAACACACCCTGCACTGTAAATATTTTCTTAAGATTTCAGTAAAACATTCTTCAATAGAACTTCCTTTGGTGATAGAAATATTTCATCTATAATCCAATATGGTAGACACTAACCATGTGTGGACAGTTGGCATTTGAAATATGCTCATAAAACAGAGCCAAATTTTAAATCTTACATAATTGTACTTTTTAAAGTTTAAATAGTCACATGTAGCTAGTGGCTACCATATTGATTAGGATAGTGTTAATCAATCTGCCTTCTGCTATGTAAGTGGAAAAAACTATACTATATTTGAAATACGGTGAATAGGGTTGCCTTGGTACATATGCACTATTAAAATGTTGAAATATTAGAGTTTATCATATCTTTGAGAAATTGCAGATACTAATTTTTGTTAATGTTATTCCTTCCCTCATTTCACTGAAGAAATCCTATGACCAACCTGATTATAAATGAATTCCAGAAAGTAGTTCTTCAATATATGAATTAGATATCACACAGTTCCATTAGTTGGTAATGATGCAAATCCTAAGGGTGTCCACTAAGTCATATGAATAAATTACACTTTTGATTGGGATTTCAATGATAAATCTTATTGACCCTAAAGAATGAATTTCCATGGTCCAAGGGCCTTCTACGATGACAGTGGGGAGAGTAGGGGACACCTATTATTCTTATTTTCCCTGTGGTTGAGAACTGATGTTAAAGGCTCATGTTTTTGTGACCAGATTCATGTTTACCCACTTTTTTTAAGTCACTAAATGTGAACAGTGAATGAGAGAGCCCAAAATTTGAAAGCACGATCATTTCCAAGGGAGAGTGTAGATGTTACATTTTGGAATAAAGAGATAAGGGGCCTGTGGTTGTCCCCACATTTAGCTGGGGTCGATCCTAACAGCACAGCACTATTAGCCCTGCATCTCTACTGCTCAGCACCTTCCTACAGGATCATGAAGATAAGAAGGCAGAACAGATCTGTTTTGTACATTAACTCCTCCAGCATTCACTATGCCTTTTCTGACTATCCAGATGGATTTCTGTCTCTTCGCCTGACAGCCCGTTAAGAAACATAGATCATAAAAGCTGCACACCTCCACAGAATGCAGACAGCACCTACATTTTCTCCAAAGGAAGGGAGCAATGTGAAACATGTGTTTATCACCCCACAGGATGCTGAAAGGATGTGTTAGTGCATGTGGATCATAAGACAAGCTATACTGCTAGTAAGTAGGATGTCAGTTGGGAAGAAGGGGTCAGCAGTGGGTAAAGGAGATCGTTATGTGCAAAGGCAAAAGAGGCTGCAGGATGTAACAGCCCTGGGTGATCGCTCGCACAGACTAAGACTTTCTTATCAGCACATGAAGAAAGAAGGGAGCAGGACCTGGGACTGCTCTGCAGTGAGGTGACTCAGCTACAACCAACAGGACCCCAGCAGAGTCTATTACCTGGCCATGAAGAAAAACAGGGAGGCATAGAGCTGGCCCTAATTGCAGTACTGTGTTTCCTTCAAAATGAATACTTAAGAAAATATAATGCAGTTTTTTTTCTAATTTAATTTTTGATTTGAAAGAATCCTTTAACCCAAGCACAGTGGTAGAGATCTGTAATCCAAGCTACTCAGGAGACTGAGGCAGGAAGAATACTAAAGTCAGGAGCAGCCAGTTCCCAAACTAGAAAATGTGGAGATTCTCAAACACATATAAATATTCTTTAGTCTTAAAGTCACACAACATTGTATGATTTATGCATTAATTCAATTATGAATTGTTATAAAATTATTCTCTTGATTCAAATTTGTATATAGACACGCTGTGGAATCTCTTACTTAGTAATCATTGCACCTACCAGGGAAACATACACCAGTCATGAAAGTAATGAACTATGCAGACTAAGGCAGAGAAAGTTTCATGAATTCTGCTGGCTGCCCTCAGTGACAAATCCCTGAGAAAAGATACTGAATTACATGGATGTTTTTTTCTGCTATTTGGAGGATGCCAAGGTAGAGCAGAGCCTTCAAACTTGCTGACAATGACTACTTTAACCTTTCTCAAAATATACTTCATTAGAGAATATTCCAGTGAATGCTAACACAAGTTTGCATTAAAACAGATTTCTGCAGTCAAACATATTTGGGGAAGTTTAATTTAAAATACCCAAACAGTTTTTTTTAAAGTAACTGCATAACCTCTCAGAGTCCTTAATATTAAATGTACATTATGGATCTCCTAAAAAAGTTAATAGAGACAGCTTCTTGAAACATTTACCTATGAAATCCATTTTTCAAAGCACTTGAAAGCTAGTTTCCAGCCTACTTAATTTCCTATTTTAAAACAGAAATCCAGTTACATTCCAGAATAAAGAATGCATTAGAAAGCAACTTTATTTATTGAGTTCATATTTAGCAGATTGATACCAGGGGTTTTCTATAAAGTATCAACACAGCTTCCAGACCAGGAAATTGGGCTAGGTCTCAAGTCCTAATCTGGGTTTCACAATATATTTTTTTGTATGTGAGACAGGGACTTACTATGTTACCCAGGCTGGCCTCAAAGTTAGGCAGTCCTCCTGCCTTGGCTTCCAGGGTCCTGGGATTACAGGCATGTGTCACTGCATCTGGTTTAAAGTCCACTTTCACTAATTAATTTGCAGTATACTTTGTATCTTTAGATTTGCCCAAACTCAAATAGGAGGCCCTAAAATTGGTCAAAATATTAATAAGAGCTACATATGGTTTGTCAAATTTTGAATCAATTTTCTTCCCCTAGCATAGGAAAGTATAAACTCAGTATATCCTAGAGGAATCACTTGTAGGTCATCAGAGCATATATCATAAGCATCTCCCTGCCAGAGATCTTGTAGCAATCACTACTGGCATGGGAAAAATGCTGTAAGGAAAGGATGGACAAAAAGAGCAAGGCCAGCATGACGTCACACACACACACACACACACACACACACACACACACCCCCCAGGATCGCAGAAGGGGACTTCTGCAAGATGCAAGAGGAGCACACAATCCTGAGTTCCAAGGTTGTAGAAACTGCTCTTAGAGTAGAGTCTCATGATTACTTCAAAGATGCCTTAACTTACCAAATATTGGAGAGAAAAACAGAAAGCAGGAAGAAGAATGAATTTAAAGCCAAAAGAAAAAGCTTCCTTGGAGAAACCATAATACATATATCATGCAGACCTAGATACTTTTTTTTTTGTCTTTTTCATTTTTATCGGTACCAGGGATCGAACTCACAACCACCTGCTTGCAAGGCAGATGCTTATGCCGCTGAGCTAAATCCCCAGCCAGACCTAGATACTTTTGCAAGCAAATGGCAGCACTGATAATTACCCTGCAAGAGACAATTTCTGCACGAACTAGGAAGTATGGATAAGCCATTCTGTAAGAAAAGAGAGCTAATAAAGTAGAAAAGTGTCTAACAGTTGTCATTGAAAAGGTCCTCTTTCTAAGAAAGTAGATAATAGTCATTGAAAGGCACTGAGGACATCAGTTACCCCACTGAGCTTATCAAACATTTTGAAATATTATTCTCTAAATCCAAAAATCATTTGATACCTGAGACATGGGTGAGTGGGTCACTCCAGCAGAACCTGCCGGTGTCACTTCGGGCTTGAAAGGGTCAAAGTCCAGATCTAGCAAAGTCTCCTCTTTCTTCACTTCAGTGACTTCATTCTGTTAAAACAAAACAAAATATGCATTAGCTCGAATGTGCTATACTGCATGGTATATCCCACGGAGAAGCTAATAACTTTACTCTGTATCCTCCAAGGGTGTTCTGATAGTTTAGCACTGAAGCAGCTCATCCACACGCTTCCGGGAGTTCAACTAAATGTGGGAAGAGGAAATACATCCAACTCTGGCCAAATATAACCAAAGTCTTCCTGGAATAGGTCCCAGGTTCCAGTTCTTGTCCTTTGTACAGCTGTACGTTCAGCCAAGAAAGAATGCCTTTGAGAGATAACCTAATGCCAAGTAGATGCAAGGAACCTCCGTCTGTTATAGCTTGCATCTAGATGGCCCCCAGCAGCTGCAAACACTCATAAGGGGGTCTATTCAGAGCCAGCTGGATCTAGCGTATAATACTGGGATTAAGAGTGCTCCATTCTGGGTGTGGGGGGCACTGCCCAAAGGGCAGGTAAGCTGGATGAAATATAAAGGCAGGCTTGCGTGGTTGCTGCTACACTGTCTCCTGCTTGATTGCCATGGATTGTTTCTCCTCTGCCATGACACTCCATCTTAAAGCCAGAAGATTATGAACTGAAACTGATTCTTGATCCCACCTGCAGATCCCACCTGCAGATCAGGAGCTCTTCTGGATAGGCTGAAGCCATACACAACAGCGACTGACAGCTACAAGCAAACAAGCCACTGATTTTTATATGTTTAAATATCTCACTCACTAGACAGAACAAAACTAAATATGAATCTTGACACCTCTCAATCCATCCTCTTCCAGCCTTTGCAAATGTGGATATGAGATGATGTCCTTTAGTCAATGGAAACACTTCAAGTCATACTCTGTGGTCTAGTGGTTGAAATGAGGGTGATTCTCAAATTCAGAAAAATAATAAGCAACTATTACATTCTATAGCCTTTCCAGGTTAAAAGAGAAGAATACAAAGGAAGTGGAGCCTTCTAAGTGAGACACAGTCTCCAGCAGTTAGATCTTTCAAAGTCGGCTGCAGACCATCTCGTGACATGCAGCAGAAAGCTATGAAAGGCACGGGTGAAGAAGCACCTTGGGGTCCTGCACAAATCACCAGTGAAGCCCAGGTAAAAACTGGTGCTGCCTTTCTTGAAGGCTTCCTCTTCCTGTCTGCCCATCCCAATCTTAACTTTTCCCATCGCCTTTATGCAGTAACACCAGCAAAAGTTAATACTGCCAGAAGGCTTTAGGGTATTCTCCCGAGTTTGTAATTTCCCAAAGTGCTTTGATTCTCCCTTCTCCCAGCATGAAGGGTCCTTACCTGGGAGCCAGCAAATTTCAAATAAAAAACATTTAACAAGAAAGAACACTCGTGAACTTCAAATTTACTTCAGAAATAGTCTATGTGTCACATTCTAGCCACTTCAGGTGTCCTGTCTCCTAAATAGGGAGACCCTCAGCTAAGTACCCAGAATTTGAAAAGAGCAAAGTTTCTAGTTGTGATAGAATTGGGAGGGTACTCCTGGAGGGCTCAGGTCAAAGCAACCAAGTAAAGGGCATCTTTATCCTCAAACATATTCAGTGTGAAAATTCCGGTAGCAAAAAAGAGAATGAAGCCAAATAGTAGCAAATACAAGGGACAGCACAACCTGAAAATTAAAGATGTTAAAGTTTGATGTCAGGGTAACTCATCAGTTTTGGGGAAGATCTTTGGCTCTAACACAACTGTCCATGGAAGTATCTGTGTGTCCACAGACATACGATTTGCCCATAGACTGATAAACATACAAATCCCCTCTTACCAAAGAAACAGCTAATCCACATTTCATAATTTATCAAACTGAGCATCCTTTACAAACAACAGGTGATAAACAGTGTCACAAAGTACCATGGCTCTTGATAAATATCCTTGAAAGTGATGAAGAATCATGATTTGCCATCGTATTGCTCCTGAATTTTGATTTTCTGAATGGTTATTTTCAACTCACTATCTTTTGTGTTATCAAGGGGATGTGACAATCACCAAGACATTAAATACACTCTTTGTACTCATGTGTGCAGTAATTACAGCATTATCTTAGCACCTCCTGCAAAATGTAAATATTCCTTCTGATCCTAGAGGAAACGATATTGGCCTGACATCTCTGGGAACTTCCACTCAAAGAGGCAGTTTCCGCGGCACTGGGAGAAGTGCTGGAGGTCACAACCATTCTGGTGTCTATGAGGCAACACAGCCTGCTAGAGGGATAGGTATACAGGTAGCTGCAGCCAGAAAGGATGGCCCAGGAGTCTACAAAAGCAGAGGGAACTCTGGCATTCCCATTTTCCTAGTCCTATCATTGAGAGGACCCTGCTAATGCAGCAATATAAAAAATAATGGAACAAATAAGAATTAACATATATACAGGGATTCACTGAAGTTCTTCTGCAAAGCAACTGGATGTAACCTGTGGCACTAACCAGAGGTCTGCACATCCAGTTAATAGAATACTATGGTTAAGCGTGGCTTTACAAATATGTTATTTTGATATGAAAAATTCTTGCCAGAACTTTAATGGAAGTTAGAATTATATTACAATACATTCTGAATTTTATGGTACAAAACTGATGCACACTCAGAGAAAAAGAAGTTTATAACAAAATAAACCAAAATGTATTTAGTTATCACTAGTTTTTTCCTTTTATATTTTTCACTATATTTTCAATTTTCTATGAATATTATAAACTACTCAATAAAAATGAGTATTTAAATTCTATATATGTCCCATTTAAGAAAGCTTTATATGTACAAAGTAAATAAAATAAGCCTGAGTGAAAATTGAAAATATATTCCTGGCTTTTATATCTGCCACATTCTCTAGTGTTGTCCACAAAAAGACACCAAGGTCCTGTCCTGTCCTGTCCTGTCCTGTCCTGTCCTTTCCTTTCCTTTCCTTTCCTTTCCTTTCCTTTCCTTTCCATTCCTTCCCTTCCCTTCCCTTCCCTTCCCTTCCCTCTCCTCCCTTCCCCTCCCCCTCCCTTCCCCCTCCCTCTTCCCCTCCCCTCCCCTCCCCTTCCCTTTCCTTTCCTTTTTCAGTTGGAAACTGAACCGAGGGTCTTTGCACAGACCTACACTCTTGGCCTTTTTTATTTTGAGACACGATCTCACTAAATTACTAAATTGTTTCAAGCTGGCTCAAACTTGCAATCCTCCCATCGTGGCCTTCCAGAGTGTTAGGATTTCAGGCCACCATGATACTCTCCTAATCGCAACCTGTTTCTGTACCAGACACTCACCTGGGAAGGTGTTGTCACACTGATTTCTGGAACGAAGTTATCCTCAAAGAAATTGATGATATTCTCCTGCTGTAGTTCCTTTGTTGGGGTGACTTTTGGCAGAGGTGGAACAGGTGGCCCTTTTCTTGTCTGCAAAGTACCAAATACAAACATTCAAACAGAAAAAGAGCAGGTGAGCCATAAAGAAATGTCACATCAAGAGGGCTGGATAAACACATCTAACTCTGAAACTTGTATCTGTGTATAGGAAGGATCTTACTGAATTAGGTTAAGAATGCTATGTGGGTGGTTCCCTGACCACTGACAAGCTATAGTCCCACAGGAAGGTCTTAGGCTATGTGCTATGGTTTAGATCCAGAATGTTTCCCAAAAGTTTCATGAGTCCAGAGGTGGCTTTTGGAAAGTGATTGGTGATTGGGTCATGACAGCATTACAGTCATTCGCGGGTTCATCCATTGTTGAGTTCATAGCTAAATGTGTTGTTAGGAGGTGGCATCTGGCCAGAGACCATAAAAGGTGTGACCTCAAAGGCTATATCTTGCCCCCGATCCTTCATGAGATGAGCATCTCTTCTCTGCCAGTCCCTTCTACTTGCTATTTCTACCTTGGAGCCAATCAGCCATGGACTGAATCCTCTTAAATCCATGAACCAAAATAAACCTCTTTTAACTGCTGGATGTCAGGTATTTTGTCCCACAGAATGGAAAATGATGAATAATCTATAAGATGGTAGTCTTTCTCAACACAAGCACAGACAGGGCTGCAGGTCCTTTAAGGTTATGTTAAAGCAATACCTTCACATAAGTATACTGAAAATTATTTCTCCTTTCAGCAATAAAATAGAATTTTAAAACTAAAATCAGGCAACTTTTCTTTTGAATCATTGAGATCAACTTAGGCAACTTTCATCTCACTTCCCACTCATAATTTTGAGATAAAACAAGTTTATCTGTTGCACATATCTCTATGTGACTCTTCTTAGTTTAGTGTACTCAGGAAAGCTTTTGCTGTACTAGGAACTCAAGATTTTCACGTAGGAATTTAATTGTCATCCAAAGTAAAAAAAAAAAAATAAGGATGGAAATTTTTTTTCTTTATCACGTTTGCCTAGCTTTCACTATCTCATTTTTGATCATTTGATGCACATAATTTTATCAAGTAGCTACTAGTGTGAAATTAAATATAAACATTAATTTTCTCGTGGTGGTTTTATACTAAGTATAATCAAAAATACTAGGAAAATGGTTTCAAAGAATCTTGAATGATTAAAAGATACTTTTTCCAGCAGTGTGGATTGAACCCTGGGTTCATATACACTAGACAAGAACTCTACCAATGAGCTACACACCCACCTGAAGAGGATTTTGAGAGCAAGAAATGAGAGAGGAGGTGGGCATGCTAGTCTGAAGAAGTTGAGATGTTAAATCTCGAGAAAGTCAAACATTGAGCATTATCAGAATATAAAAGTTAAATAAAAAGACGGATTTCTTAACGGTAATCACAATGAGTTCCCTTATTCCCTGTTACATGTGCTCTCCTCATACCTGTGAAGGTGACCTGGGTCGTGCAGGGGCAGGAGACGCAGGTGCTAGCGTGTGGTTGGGACTGGCTGTTGGGCTGGGTAGGGGTGAAGGCTCCTCAGGAGGTGACGGCGTCTTTGCAATGCGCAGAGGACCCGAATCACTACACAAACATGGAATTAAGCAAAAGGCCTTCTGAGAAATGGGATTCATTTGATCTGGATGCTCCATCACAGAGAAATCTTGACATTTAATAGGTATTGTCTGCTACCTGGCTCTCTGCTTGCAGTTTATTTTGGTCATTAGACACAGTGATAAATGGTGCCACTTCCTATACTCTGTGAGCCAGATCCTGCTCATCTGTTATCTGCCTTCACAGTAGACATGCATTATTGTCCCCACTTGCAGGGAAGAAGAGTGGAGCAAACAGAGGTTTAAAAAAATAAAATCCAATATCCCTCAGTGATTTAGAGCAGGATTCCCAGTTCTGGACCATAGATTAATATAGTTCACTGCTCATTAATAACTTGGGTTGCACAATAAGACTAATAGGTAAGCTGAAAAAGATTCATATGTATTTGTAGTGCTCCTCAGCACCTCCTGAGTTCCACCTCCTGTTAGAACCGTGGGGCATTAGGCTCTCATAGGAGGTAGAACCCTACTGCAAACCGTCCATGTAGGGATCTAGGTGGCATGATCCTTTGGAGAATCCAATGCCTGATGATCTGAGGTGGAGCTGAGGTGGCGATGCTAGCTCTGGGGAGCAGCTGCAGATGCAGATGAACATTAGCAAGGAGATCTGAATGCATGATAAATAAACTACAATTAAAGCATCCTCAAACCATCTATCTGTTCTTCCTACCCCAAAGCATCATCCCCCCAGCCATGGACAAAGTGTCTTCCCTGAAACCAGTCCCTGGTGCTAATAATAATAATAATAGTAAAGATTGGGACTAATTGAATGGATCTGAATTCAGGTTTTAAATTACACAAACTTCTTGTGTATCCATTATGCCAAGAAAGCACTAAAGAGTCTTCCCAGCCTATGGTGGATTAATTTAAGTAGTTTCACATTTGATCAGTAAGAGAATCTTGGCATGTCATATACTACAGAAAAATCTACACAGAAAACTACACTTTTTATATTCAAAGGCATCTTAGGAGAAAATGAGCAAAACTTTTGTAGGAATGGGCTTGCTGATATCATTTGAAATAGATTCATTATTTCTTTTTACACTGTACAAAACAATGACTCAACTTAGACACCTTGAACAGTGCAAATACATTCTTCAACTGATGAAAGCCAGTAATGTTCACTGAGAATCTACTATGTTCTCAGCCTCAGGCCAGAGGATAGGGGACAGCTAAGCTTGATGACTAAGATAGTGCTGAGGACACATCTTACTCTCTAAGCATTTCTAAAGTCTACAGTCAGAAGCAACAGAATCTATAGCCTAAAATAAAAGAGCAGATACACAGCAGTATGTCTACATATCAGAGGGAATTGGGTCCTTCAGAAATAGGCACAAGATTGGGGCCATGTGTTAGCAATCATGGCCTATGATGGAAAACAGCCCCAGTCTATGCTCTATAGAGAGTCCTCTAAGTTACTCACCACTTCGCTCTGCAGAGGAAATGGAAAAAATTAAAGAACATTTGTTAAGTAGCCATGACCTATTTTATCCTCACTTCATCTGATTCAGCAACACTGGAATTTTTAAATGCATTTCCATGTAAGGGGGCAACCCTTAGATTTTTGTTGTACTTCAGTTTGAAACATCCCAAAGTCATTTTGATATTCCTGTTATAACTCTTCTTTTGTTCTTAGCCCCATACTGAAATAACACTGACACATTTAGCCTCATGTATTATTTCAGACCATGCTCTTACTCTTCAGGGAGAAGATACACTTTCTGCTGTCTTAGCAGAGCAAGCATTGTAGAGATTACAGGCCCTAGAATAAGAAAACCAGCAATCTCCAGAGACATCCACTAATCCAAGTGCCTACTGGGACATGTATATGACTATGTGTGTTTCTATAAATGCACTGGTTTAAGTGTGTGCACTGTTATTAACATCACAAATACAGGAAGTCAGAATTTTCTATTACTTTGAAATTCATTTAGCCCAAAGGTATATTACTTTTTTATTGATTTGAAAATAATTACATATTTAGCCAAAGAGGTTATTAGACTTACTCAAGGAAAACAAAGCAAGTTAACTTCAGCCATAATACTAAAAGCTGGATCTTTTCCAACTTTAGGATAAGCTAACCTGCATTCCTTGGGGACACAATGCCTGAGAGGATGGAATAGAAACAATTCCAAAATCACAAGAGAAAGTTGGTACAAAACCAAACCCTGGCAGGTTAGATAGCTCACCTGTGGATCACAAGGCCCCTAGCATCTTTGACTGGTATGTTTATAGCAGCCACATGCAATGAACCAGTAACAAAGCAGAATTCAGATACTCTTAAGATGCTGGGAGAGTCTCACCTACTTCTTTACCTCCCCAGCATGGATTCACCACAAATATCAGCAACCACGCTAAAAACCAGTATCGACTGTCTTGAGTTTGGGGAATTCTTTTCTTTGTTAGAGAAAGTAACATGTGTGGGCGTAGAAATTATATATTAGCATTGCTCTCAGGTCCCATGTAAAGCAGAAAGAGAGAGACAGAGAGACAGAAAGACAGAGAAAGACAAAAACACTTAACTCTCTTGCAGCCACAAGAACCCTGGTGACGTATCTGAAAACCAGAAGTAAATGTGAAACTACAGATTTAAGGCTGGGGTCAATCCCTAGATGGAAAAGCTCCTTTTAGACTTTTACTGATGAAGAAAATCAAATTAAAGTAGCAGAAACTTTCACAGAGAATGCAGAAATTTTAGCCAGCATTGTGTTAAAGGTGTGTGGAAATGAAGTTGGCTCTGATGAGCAACGGCTTACCTGGGGGCGCCTTGGATGGTGAAGGCCTTGTCGGCGTGCTGGTCACCTAATTTTGTCATCACTTCAAACAGCTTGTGGCAAAGCTAGGGGGACAGAGGCCACTTGTCTATTAGCTGCAAGTCATCACAATGCCAATACAGCATAGCCTCCCTGTCCTCCCCAAGAAGCTCTTTATTGAGAAAGTAAGACTCTCTCAGAATTATGGAGGCCTTGGGACACTCAACATTTTTATTCAAGTATTCAAAAGGAAAACCCACATTAAAACCGAAACAAACTAAACACACGAAAAACTTTTAAAACAATCCAAATATATTTATACACCAGAGTACACAGCGCAAAATAAAAGCCTGCTACTTATATTGATTCCATTAAAAACAGCCCACAACTACCCCCATCAAACTAGAAAACATCAATCCACAGTATAGCTGCTGATTTTGTGAATATTTTGAGACTACTTTTTCATCATCCTAGAAAGCCACTTGAAATCGTGACTTTTAAAAACAGATTGAAAAGGAAGACAAGGCTGAGATCTAGGACCAAATCTCCAAAATATATAGAAACTATATAGTCACTACAGGAAGCTATACAAATATTACAGAGAGAAATAAGCGGGCCACTACTACAAGACATGTGCTAAATGAAGAATACTTGGGATAAAGCTAAGCCAATGAATTGGCCTCCAAAACAGATCTTCCTTTATTTTTCAAATGGAAAAATAATCAGCATTACTCACCACTGCAATTTCCTTGTGAAACTTGGCCTCTAGGCTGGAAACGTTTTTGAACGTGTTAACATAAAATCCAACACGTCTACCATGCAGAAATACAGAGAGATGAAAAAAGAGAGATTTGTTAGCAAAAGCAGATTTTAATGGCAATAAAATATACCACAAACATACTTGGTTTTCTTTATACAAGTTCAAATAACAATGGTTTAAATAAGACAACTCAGACTACGCACAACTTTTCCTTATTAGTCAATGACCAGAAAAACATTTTTTGGCAAGGAGCACAGTGTCTCTTAAAATCCAGTCACCATCCTAAGACAGTGGCCCTCAAACTTTGATGTACATTAACATCACCAGGGAATGTAGCAGTGTGTGTTCTGATTCAGTAGGGCTGGGGTTACAGACTGAAAATCTGCATTTCCACCAAGTTTCTAGATGACACTGACATTACTGGTTTAACACTTTAGGAACAAGCATCTCGAGAATTTGTTTATATTTTAGCTATGTGTCTTATATGCTTCTGAGATTAAGAAAGTTATTTTTCATTTTTACACAACACAGGTGGTTTAGCTTCAGTGTTACATATTTGAACTCCCAGCTGTATATAATACAGTGAAATAGAAAACGTATACATGAGTTGCAATTGTTGGGCAAAAGTCACTGTGTGCTATTACTGAAAAACTAAGAAACACGAGCTGCCCATTGTCACGATCTCAAACATGTTTGTACAGAAACTCACCGGAGGATGCTGTAGCACAAAAGCAAAGTCACAATGCTCTCTAATTTTAGGTCCCTAAGAGTAAATTCACCAGAAATACAGACCCAGTCTGGGGCCCCAGGATAAATCCTCTGTGTCTCTAGTGAGAAATCTTTGCCCTCTGTATTAACACAATCTTTCTGATTGCATTGGAGAAAATAACTACTTTAATTCATGTCTTTGTTTGGATGGCATTCTCAAAACTAACCGCAGCACCCAGGTTGTTTAATTAGATTCTAAATCTCAATTAAGAATCAAGGACTTAGATATCAGAAAGATTAGATAGATCTAACACAGGAGATAGCATCTATTTAGAGGGTTCATAACATGTTCAGGCATGAGACAGGCAGGCTTCCTATTTGCACAATGAGATAAAAGGACAAGAAAAAGAATGAACTTCCAGACGGGCTGCACCTTGCAGTGAGAAGGACGGATGTGGATGGCTGTGCCATTGTGATCAAAATTAATAGAACCAGCAGCTGACTAGCTATTTTCATGCTTCTTTACTTAATTGTTAAACTACCTCCTGCAACAGTGATTCCATTTTACCAACAAAACTAAGAGACTAAAGGATCAGTCATCTAAAGTCATGCAGTTACTACATGGAGAACCAGTATTTGAACACAAAGTGAGAAAATACAACAGAATATCACGGAGTATTTGATGAGAAATGGTATCTAAGTATGAATTTTGTATTTTAGAGCCACGATGCTTTGTGCTGGAAGTAAGTGGTTTAGTCTAATTTAGAGATTCAGAAGCCGAATCATAATTGAGTGGTAAACCCATGGCACCAGTAAGACTTACTGCTTCCATGGCTTACCTGTGCCTTAAATTCCTACCACATCATATTTAATCTTCACGTCCTATCACCACAGTGGACATATGACCCTGGCTTCATGCATCTTTCTTTTAATAGATTTCAAATCATGTAGTTATTCATACAGAGATGTGTGCACACTGCGGGCTTTCTATACCTACAGATCCTCATCCTCTGATTCAACTAACATCGATCAAAAATTTTAGGAGAAAAACTGCATCTCCATTAAGTATACACAGATATTTCCTTTTTATTAAGTTTATTGGTACAATTTAGATATACATAATGATCATATTCATCATAGGGAGTTTGTACCTGTATGTGACATATCTTGATTTCTCTTTTTACCCACTGCCTCCCTCTCCTTTAAACCCTTCCTCCCCTTATTTACAAAGCTGGTTCCATTTTATCCTTTTTAATCACTTTTCCCCTTTCCTGTCCTTCCTTTATCCCTTGCATCTTCCTAGTTCCTTTGTTGAACTATTTCTTACTGTTTTCACAATATCTATGGTATATTTTGGATCTTATTTACTCTCACTTTGTTACACCAGGAAGACAATGTGATATTTACAATGTAACATTTCACTTAAGAGTGTGATCTCAAAGTGTATTCATTTACTAGAAATGTTTCAAGTTTATCCTTCTTTATAGGTGATTAGTACTCGATTGTATAAAAATACCACATCTTTTTTATCCATTCGTTAGTTGATGGGCATTTGGGTTGTTTCCAAGATCTAGCTATTACAAATTGTGCTGCTATAAACATGGGTGCACATGTATCACTGTGGTATGATGGTTTTTAATTCTTCTGTGAAGATACCCTGAGTGTACCTGGGTCAGAATATCTGGGTCAGAGTAATTCCAGTTTTTTGAGAAATCTCTACACTGATTTCACAATGGTTCTACCAACTACACTGCTACCAACAGTGAGAAGGGTCCCTTTTATCCCCACAGCCTCTCCAGCATTTGTAATTGGTTGATTTCTTGATGATAGCCATTCTTTCTAGGGTGACATGGAATCTCAGCACTGTTTTAATGAGCATCTCTTGAATTATCAGTGTTATTGAACATTTTTCATATATTTATTTGCTATTTGTATTTAATCATCTGAGAGGTATGCATTCATCTCAGATGCCAATTTTTGGATTGGTTCTTTGATTTGGCGGGGTCTGATTTTTTTCAGTTCTTTATATGTTTTAGATATTAGTCCTTTGAGAGACAACTGGTTAAAATTTTTTCCCACTCTGTGGGTTGTCTTTGCACTCTCTTGATGATTTTAATTACTGTGAGAAAGTTTTTTTTTTTTTAAAAGAAGATGTGATCTCCATTGTTGATTCTTTCCTGTGCATTCATGGTTTTGTTCATGAAATCTCTGCCCTAGTCCTATGTCTTCAACAGTTCTGCTTATTGTCACTAGGAGATTTAGTGTTTCTGTTTTAATATATAGACTTTTGATCCATTTTGATTTAGTTTAGTGCCTGATGACAGACATAGGTCTAGTTTTAGTCTTTGGTGCCTGGAAAACTAGTTTTATTTCAGCACCGTTTATTAAAGTCTATCTTTCTCCCAATGAACATGCTTAGCCCTTTATCAAAGATAAGGTGGGTAAGTATGTTTGAAGTTGTTTGTGCATCTTGTAATCCGTTCCATTCTCAGGTCTGTTTTTTTCCTCCAGTACCATGCTGTTTTTATCAGAGTAGTTTTGTAGTATTTTTTTCAAGTTGGAGTTTCTGTTTCTCATTATTACTATGTTGTCATTAAACAAGATAGTATTTTCATTGTGCAAAGTTTATAAATAATTTAGATGATTTCATTTAAAATGACTTAAAAACTTTAAAAAATTTAATTTAAAATGATTTTAAATTTAAAAAGTATTTTTAGTACACATTTAGTACATAATGATTATATTCACTGTGGGCAGTTGGTACATGTACATAACACATCTTAACTGTTTTTTTTTCTCCTTCCCTTCCACTGCTGCCCCATCTGGATATCAGTAGATTACATGCAAATACTATGTCATCTTATATAAGGGACATGAGCATTTGTGGGGTTTGGTACCCACAGGGGGATCCTGGAACAAATTCCCTGCAGATACTAGGGACAATGTATATCTTTACACACATACTTGTGCACATGCATAAAATACATATTAACAAAGAAACCTCTGGCACAATGTATAGGACAGATAAGCACTTAGAAGGGTCAGACCAGAGGCTGTGAAATGGGAACCCGTAAGTCAGATGGTTCTCAAGAGCAGAGGCCCTTGCCAGGCCACAAAGACTGTTTATGTGCAAGCAGTGAGAATTGCCTCGGCAGGTCTGAGACAGAGGAGAGGAAAGGAACTAAATAAATAGCTGTGTCAGAAAGGAGAAAGCACAAGGGCTTCCGGACCATATCGCATAGAGAGAATCTACTCATTGTCCTGACTGCAGAGAAGTCTTTCTAGGGCCTGATGTGTGGCAATTTCTCTAGAACCCTAGTCCATGGAAACAGTTATTCTTAACACCTACGGACATACAACTCAGTTGGAGGAGCACTCACAGTGCTTATTAAGGAACATATGCTCTGTTCATGCTTACAATGGAATTAAACTGAAAGACACAGAAGCAAATTATGAAGTCATGTGTGACTGTTCAGTTACTATCAAAGATTATATACGATTAAATATCAAAAATGCCTGGATATGGACACAATAGCTAACAGAGCTGAGAGAAGGCAGGAACAGGTCCAGAGTCAGCTGCAAACACTTGCTAGAGTGGACAAACCGAGGTTTACTTAAATGATATGCTGCATCAAAGCAGAACATTGATATAAATCAGGGGAGGTCACTGAAGTTTAATGAAATATATTATTTTAATTGATGTTTCATTCTAATAAACACAATCCTAATAAATACCTCGATTAAAACTTTGTTCACATCTTTTTCATTTTCTTACAGTGGGTTTCTTTGCATGCAGATGCTGATGAAAGGCCCAGTGATGGAAGCTTGGATGTTCACTGTCAAACTTCCCACTGGGCCATGGGTAGTTCCTCAATTTTTAATATTACCTTGTATCTAACCTTTGTAAGTTTGCTGGCCACTTCCAAATTTATATTACTTTAATTAAAGTTAATGCATTTTGTTCATTTATTTATTGACCATTTGCATTTCTTTGGAGCCACATTTTCATCTTCTTTTTGTTATTTCTCAGTGGGTTTCTTGGTTATTGTTCTGTAAGGGCATTTCTATTAGACATATTAAAAATTTGATATATAAGCAGAAAAAAGAACCTTTATTCTTCTACGTTTAAATTTTTAATTATTTTCTAGAATACATCATAACTTAATACTATCCATTGTTATTTAGAGAAATAATTGGTACAGTACCAGAAATAATTTAGAGTAACTAAACATCTGAATCTGTCTTATATTGTGTTATTTCTTTGTAGAATTCAGTAATTAACTAGTATGTATTTATTTAGAAAAGTATTCAATTTTTAATCAATGATCATAAAGAGATTTTCTT